CTGGGGGACCCTCCCCCGGGCGAGGGGCGGGTTCCAGAGCTTGGCGCGCTCTCGCGGACCCGGCGGCCGCACAGCAGCGGCGAGATGGCACCGGCCGGAGGCCCCGGGGCCAAAAAGGTGAGTTTCCGGGAGTCGGCGAGGTACTCAGCGCTCCCGGTCGCGGGGCTCCCGGCGCCTGAGTTGAGACCCTACTTCAACCCTTGAATGAGCTCTGCGGCCCTGGCCGGGCACCTGGAGGGCTCTGTGTCTCAGTACACGCGATCGCCACTTGCCCGGGGCGACAATACCGCCTTGGCGTGAGGATTAGATAATTTACTGAGCCCGGACTCGGTGCCCCACACTTCGCGGACTGCGCACAATTATTCCCATTTTTCAGGTGAGGAAACTGAGGCCCAGAAAGGCCACTAGCTCAAGGTCACCCATCTAGTCCAGGGTGGAGCGGGGATTTGAAGTCTAGCTCCCGACACAGGCGCCGCGCTCACATTTTCTGCCCTCAGCCTACCTCAGGTCTTGGGCTCAACTAGCCCCAGAGCTTGGTTCTCTGGCGTTTTGGGAAGGGTAGCAGCCTGGCCCTGCAACTGATGGGCCGGCCTGAAACCAGGGGTGCAAGATGCTCCCAGACCCCCACCGCGGAGTGGGGGCGGGTAGGAAAGTGCGCAGGTTAGTGGGGTAGCGGCGCTCTGCCTAGCCTTTTCAGTAGGACCGGCTACCTGGTTCCTTCTCTAGGCCCCTTTCCCTCTCTGTTCACCAAGTGTCAGCTTTGTCCCCCTACCCCCCAACGTTTCTTGGTGAAGGGAAGGGGTGACAAAACAAAATTAACTTGCGTCCATGAACTTGGACGCAGAACATCTCCAGGATCCCTCAAAGCAACCCAGCTGTGCCCTGAAACTCAGAGGGGGGAAGGGAGAAGCTATATAGGCATGTAAGTATGCACCACTGATCTTTTTCTCCTAAAAAGTTAGCAACAATCAAGATGCCCAATGATGGTGCGCTCCCTAAATAAAGGTGCATCCACTTAATAAGTTATTAGGCAGCCAATTAAGAAGCTAAGTATGAGAACAAACAAACTGCTTTGACAATAGTTAAGTTACAAAAGGAGTTATACTATACAGACCGACCCCAACTGTGTAAATATTTATATATGCAGTGAAAGGAAAGAAATAATAATGGTAATAGTTGCATAAGATGTGGAATATGACTTTAACAATTAAAAAAAATCTTTGGATATGTTTTATAAAAGGAAAATATGGGCATTGAAGTAAATGAGCTTAATAAAAGATAAAGACATTGTGCTGCTTTCTTTCTCTAAATTTTCTGTATTACTGTGTTCACCTTTGGCTCACTTTTTAAAAGGTTTTTAAAATATGCTGTCCCTGTTCAATTTCTTCCCAGCCTCTGCTCTTGCAACGCCAAGATTATCGTATGATAATCATGTTAATGTGTACCTGGGAGTTAAAATGTTACTGGGAAGCAGCTAATCTCACCTCTCCTGTCAGCCAACAGGTACATTTTAAGAATTCATTTAGTTGCCACAGGGGACACTTCCAATCGCTTCATTAATCCCCAAGAGCAGTCCTAGTGGCAACTTCAGGCATATTGGATCTCTGGCAGCGTCTGGCCGAGGGTGAATGAAGTTGGTCTACTCATCTGTCTGATCAGAGGTGCCCTGAAGCCATACCTTAAATCCAGAAGTCTAGATACTGACATCTGCAACAAGGAACCATAAATGCCTCTCAGAGCTCACTACCAGATCCAAGGCAGATTCACTGCCAAACTGAAAGGGAGGATGGACTGAAAATATAAATGTACTGCAAATTAATTTACATTGCTCTTTATTTTACAGAGTCCCCTGTCATTCTGGAGCTGTCTTTAGATCAGCTGGTGTAGTAATTAACTAGGGTGGTAGATAGAGCAGTGAAGGAGAGGCTTAAAGGTGCTCTGAATTCAAGTCTTGATAATATAGCTATTTTGCTAATGGCTTTTTAAGAAAACTGGCAAAATTTTAAATTTTGGACAAACGTCTAGATAACAGATCAAAATGGCTTAACTTGTTATCGTGAAGATCACAATCAAAATAGGCACTATAATTTTCTTAAAACCCTAGCTAGCTAATTTTCTGTTAAAGAGTGTCATTTTTTTCTCTCTCTCTCTCCTCAGGACTAAACTTGTAGCACATAAGACACAAGTGACAGTTTCAAAAATCTTATCTGTCTGCTGACTCTTGGCATAGTTTGTAAAGAGCCTACTCTTTGTTAGGTGCTGTTTGAGGTGGTAGGGATACAGACAAATGAGATTTGTCACCTGAGCCTCAAGCATTTTAAAGCCAAACAGAGGGGACAGGTAAGTAACCAGATACTATAGCTACAGGTGACAGATGCAGGAATGGAGGGTGTTTGACCTGAAGCAGAACACAAAGGAGGAAGTAATTACAAGTAAGAGTCAGACAGGCAAGGCTTTGGTCTGCAGCAGTGGAATATACAACAGAGTGGGCTGTGGGAGCGAATTGGAGGTCATTTCAATAATCCAGGGACAGTAAGGATGTGGGTACGTATCTAAGAAGTGTTAAATAGATACACTTGGCATAACCCTGAGACAGGTTGAATGTGGTAGGTGAGATACTAACCTATAACACCTAAACTGTATGCCAGTGTTTTTCCCCTCTAGAATTGTTTGGTGTGTACTATTAAATTTGAATCTTAGCTTATAATTGAAGTGTTAGATTTCCAAGATGAGATTTTATACAGATGACTATATCTCTGATTTTCTGTTCTGTATTCCTCTGCAGCATTTCTTTATTACATATATTGTGATGATTTTTTGACCCATCAGCCTTCCTCCGGGTGGGCAGACTTTGAGTTTCTTGAGGGCAGGGGCCTTGTCTTAGTCCAATGTTTATCCCTCTTGCCTGGAAATGTACCTGGCATGTGGAAAGTTCGCATGAAAATTTAAAGCTGAAGTCTTTTTTTATGTTTCAAAAGTACAACATTAGAAGAGCAAATTGCATATCTTGGAAGGAATAGAGAACTAGGTGAGAATCATAATAAATATTAACATTTCTTCCACATTCAACTAAAATTCATCTTTAGATATAAAATATGGAAAAAATAACCAGAGTCAAAGCAGTGTTTAAGGTTAATATAGCTAACACAGCTTGTATTCCATTTCACTTCCCTCCACACAAAAATGGAGATGCTCTAGATATGGTGGCCTCCACTGCAACTCTTTCTAATGTACCTTCCTGGGCTGCAGATATGGCTGGTTAGAAGGGGCAACTGAAGGCATTTCTCTCCCACTCATGCATTGCTGTGTGTCTAGCTGTAGACAGGGCTGAAGTGAACTGGCCTTGTATTTTCAATAAAAGATTGTATCTTCAGCTAATGAAATCTTTACAAGAAGAGTAGGGGTCACCATGGGAGTGTTTGCAGTTTTCCTATAGGATGGTCAGGGAATGCCTCCCTGAAAAGATGACCCTTGACCAAAGCCCTGAAGGAATGTGACGGTGAGCCATGCAGGTATTTGGGGGAGGCAGGTATTTAGGGAGGCACGTTTTAGACAATGGAAACTGTAAGCCCTTGGAGAACTGCTCTGGATACAGCCTTTTATTCAAGTATGGGTGGGCCAAACAGAAAAGTGGGATTAGAAAGAGAGTAGATTAGGAATTTAGAAGATCTGAAGTCCACTTTAGCTTTGTAATCTTTCTTAGCTCTGTGGTCTTGGACAAGTCACTTAGTCTCGTTGAACCTCAGTTTCCTCATTTATAAAATGGGAATAAAAACCATCTGCCCTGCCTAGCTCACAGAGTTGTCGGGAGTACCAAATGAAAACATATATGAACATGCTGGAAAATGTAGGGGCATAGTTATGAAACTTTCTGTCCCTTAGGATTATGTTTAGTGGTTTATGCAAAAAAAAGAGGCTAGTTTTCTCCCCTAACGTGAGGCCTAACAATCCATGGCTGCTGCAGCTACGCAAAGATGCCGTTAAAACCCTGCGGCTGTGAGTGACAGCAACTATTAGTCGGCTCCACCTGCCTTAGTGTGTGACTTTCAATGGCATGGCTGCAGGATGACTGGTATACCTCTAGGGCTTATATTGACATTCTAGTCAGGAAGGAGAAAAAGTGCCACGATGGAAGAGAGTGCCCATCTATATCAGGAAAGCAAAACTTTGCCAGAAATCTTTAACTGGCTTCTGCCTGTGTCTCACTGGCCAGCTCTATGTAATATACCCACCTCCCCGCAGCGGAAGGGAGCCTGAGAATTTTTTTTTAAGTTTATTTATTTATTTTGAGAGAGAGCAAGATAGAGTGTGAGCCAGGGAGGGGCAGAGAGAGATGGAGAGAGAGAATCCCAAACAGGTTCCATGCTGTCATTGCAGAGCCCAATGCAGGGATCAATCCCACAAACTGTGAGATCATGATCTGAGCAGGAACCGAGACTCAGATGCCTAACCAACTGAGCCACCCAGGCATCCTGAGAATTTTTTTAATAAATTTTCTTTTAATGTTTGTTTATGTTTGAGAGAGAGAGAGAAAGACAGAGAGTAGGAGGGGGCAGAGAGAAAGGGAGACACAGAATCCGAAGCAGGCTCCAGGCTCTAAGCTGTCAGCACAGAGCTCAATGTAGGACTCAAACCCACAAACTGCGAGATCATGACCTGAGCTGAAGTCAAACACTTAACCGACTGAGCCACTCAGGCGTGCACTGCCCCTCCGCCAGAGAATTTTTTTTAAGTTGAGGACATTGTCTCCCCAAATGAAATAATTAACAAAGAAGAGAAGAGGAAATACATACTAATTAGGCAACTATCAGTGTCTGCCACAAACATGTTGAGAAAACAGTATATCGCAGAATCAGCACTTTCACTATAATTTGACTCAGTGTAAACATTATTTGAGAAAAAACAGTCACAGCACTTTGCACAACACAAGTACCTGGAATGTCCAGGAAATATAGTATACTCTGTCTTTCTAGAATATTGTTAGACATTGAGGATTTTGACAGAACTGGATCTATAAGAACATAGGACCACATTTCCTAAAATTGGAAACTGCTTTAAGGGGAAAAAAAAAAGAGGCATCTTGGGTGATTTTTCTTTCTTTTCTTCAGGGTATTTTGGAACGTCTGGAGAATGGGGAGGTTGTGGTTGGAGACGGCAGCTTTCTCCTAACTCTGGAGAAGAGGGGCTACGTGAAGGCGGGGCTCTGGACTCCAGAAGCGGTGGTGGAATATCCCAATGCAGGTCAGTGCCAGCAGCCCCGACGGCGTTTATCTGGGTGACAGTTTGCTTAAATCTGACTGAGAGAATATAAAGGAATAATTCTCAGTGTTTTCTAAGGACTGTTTCCCTTGCCAGAATCACCAAGATGTAGACGGTGACAGTATGTGGCTGAAGCACATAGAATAAAATGTCCTCTCCCTCCCCCCCGCCCACTACCACACGCTTGCATCTTCATATATAGGAGGCGTTAAATTATACACCTTAATATTTGTTCCATGAATATTCACCTTGTGGATAGTCAAGAGTTTCCTGAACCTAATGTGTTATGGCTTCACGTTAATCCTTCTGGCTAATTTGCTTATTATACTAGAACCGTGTTTGGTAAAGATGATTAATGGTAACCACCAGATTAACAGAGCATAGAGAGTAGACATTTGGGGTTTGCTGGGGGAGAGGGGTGTGAAGAAATAAACAGTTTCACCTCATCCCCTTAGCTAGAAAAAAAAACCAAAAAACAATAAGAGTTGGAGGCAGAAACTGGGATGGGATTGGTGAGTAACATCCACTGGAGCTTTAATTCTGCTTTTACTCTTTATTGAGAGCAAGGTCCTAAATTAAAGGGGAAGATAAAGTGAAAGAATGAAATGGATACAAGCTGGGAATGGAACTTTCAGTTTGCTCTGATTTTATTCATATATGCACGGTGTATCTGAGAAGCCTGGGATCCTGTCCTGGTTCTTCTGCCGACCAGCCGTGTGACCTTGGACAAGTCATTTGACTTTCCCAAGGGTCAGTTTCTTGATCCATGCCACATGAGGGTGTGAGATGGGCTAGTTGTCAGGACTTGTGAGTTAACCGGTGTGAAGGGTCCCACGTGTCCTAAGTCCCTGATGGCATTTGCATTGTTTCATCCAACACCCAGAGTTATGTGGTGGGACCAGGTTTTATTTCTCTGGTGCTTAGCATGAAGTTTTCATCTGGCCCAAGGAAAACTTGTTCTTCATTTTATTTTATTTTTTTTAAGTTTATTTATTTTGAGAAAGAGAGAGCACGTGGTGCAAGCACATGCAAGCAGGGGAGGGGCAAAGAGAGAGGGAGAAACAGAGTCCCAAGTGGGCTTCATGCTGTCAGCACAGAGCCCGACGAGGGGCTTGATCTCACGAACCTGGGGTTATGACCTGAGTCAAAATCAAGAGTCAAACACAACCAAATGAGCCACCCAGGTGCCCCTGTTCTTCATTTTAGAAGATTCTTCTGCTAAACCAGAAAGTGTTGAAATAACAAGGATGAAGAGAGAGAAGGAAAGGGTGTTCTGATAGGCCAACAAAAGCTCTCTGATGGCACCTTAGCAGCTGCTTGCTGTTGAATCAGTTTGATGGGGGCACAACCCACATACACTCTGTCCAATTTGAGAATTTCCTCATCCTTTTTTGAGGGCTCCCAGTGCTGACTATAAGTAGACCAGCCACATCCCTCACAACACAGGGAAATGAATAAACCCTCTCTAGACCAAAAGATCGAGGGAGCAGTTGGCCAACCAGGCCTTAATCTCTGCCTGCGACTGCACCAGGCTGTTGAGGCCCATCGACAGGGCAACATGAGGCTACTCCAAATAGCCCCAGTTTGGTATTGGCTCTGCCTTGTTCTGTCCTTGAATTCTACTGACCGTAATCTGCAATTTTTTTATAAGTACAAGGTTTGAAATGTGTCTGATTAAAAGAGATGTGAGTGGGTAAGCTACTTTTGCTATAAATGAAAGCTCCTATGGTTTTTATCTTCTTAATTTTAATTCAAAATCTACCTTGTAGTTCGTCAACTTCACATGGAATTCTTGAGAGCAGGATCAAATGTCATGCAGACTTTCACCTTTTCTGCCAGTGAGGACAATATGGACAGCAAGGTAATTTTGGTGTGGGGGCAGGTGTGAAGGGAGGGAGGAGGAAAGTGTCAGGGATCATCTGTAATAAAAGTAACCTCTTGGGGAGCCTGGGTGGCTCAGTCGGTTGGGTGTCCGACTTCAGCTCAGGTCATGATCTCGCGGTCCGTGGGTTTGTGCCCCGCATCGGGCTCTGTGCTGATGGCTCGGAGCCTGGAGCCTGTTTCAGATTCTGTGTCTCCCTCTTTCTCTGACCCTCCCCTGTTCATGCTCTCTCTCTCTCTGTCTCAAAAATAAATAAACGTTAAAAAAAAAAAAAAAAGTAACCTCTTGACGGGAAGCTATGGAATTGACCTGATGTGTTACTATACTTTGGTACAAACTCCACACAAAATGTCTATTAAAGAATTAATTATTATGTAAATGAATATATACTAAATAAATGAGCTTTTTTTTCTGCCTCTTTAGCTGGAGTATGTGGGGAGGATAGGACTGGGAAGGAATTGGCCATTGGAAGGACATGGTCATCCTTCTGTGCTGTTATTTTATAGATGCCTTTTTCCTTTATTTCACTGTCTTCTCTTCTGACTTGTCCATCTGGAGACAGGGTGGTCCTTGGGAATATGGCACTGGCCTAGGAATGAGAAGAATTGGGTTTGATACTCAACTTTGCCATGTGTTGGGTGTGTGACTTTTTGCAAGACACTTGACTGCAGGGAGCATTGGTTTTCTCTCTGCAAATAGAGATAATTTATGCTTAAATGCATGGGGTTGTTGAGAAAAGTAGATAAGGAGAAGAATGTGGAAGTATTGTGAGATATTCCTTACGTGAAAAGTGTTAATACTTGCAAATGTTCATGCCCATGTATTCAACCAACCAGCATTTCTTGAGTACCTGCTATAGTCCAATCTCTATGCTTGAAACAAAGATGAAAGAAAGCCACAGACCGGATTCCTAAGTGGCTCACAGTCAAGTGAGGGAGGCAAACAAACATTTACTAAGATCCAGTGTGGCAAGTCCAGTCATGGAACTATAAGCTCACTGGTAGTAGAGGAGAAGGTACCCAACTCTGCTGGTCTTCCCAACTTGCAGTTTACCCCATACCTTGAACTCGTCTTACTTGCTCATTGCCCCTTTGGTTATTTGTAATATTTTACCTCTAAAACGCCAGGCTCACCATCTGAACTCTTGCTCTCCAGCTTCAGTGGGAAGATGTGAACGCCGCTGCCTGTGACCTTGCCAGGGAAGTGGCTGGAAAAGGTGACGCTTTGGTGGCAGGAGGGATCTGCCAGACATCGGCGTACACACACCACAAGGATGAAGCTAGAGTTAAACAACTCTTTCAACGCCAGCTAGATGTTTTTGCCAGGAAAAATGTGGACTTCTTGATTGCCGAGGTAAGGCTTGTGTTTTAGGGAAACACTATTTTGACAAATACAACTGCATAGTCTTCAGCTTTCAGGAGGGTATTGGATTGCTTTGTGCCCTCGTTTCCTCAGGGTACAGGGTCAAAGGTTTGTTTAAATGCACTGTAATCAAGGCAAACATCCTCTCAATTGTGTGCTAGGTTCTGTGTGAAGCCAAAGGGCAGACCCAGGACAGGCCTACCTGTAGCCTTCGTGTTCTTTTGGGTGGTTGTAGCAGCTGACTCACAGGGGACCGTGCAATGTTGGGTGAGAAGGGGATGGTGATTCAGGAAGCAGTCTCTCCTGCGGGAGGGGCAGGGCAGGAAGGGGCTGTGTGCGTGAGCTAGAGGCTGTGAGAGCAAAGCTTAGGAGGTAGATGGTTGCTCGGGCTCATGCAGGCCCCACTAACAATACTCAGTACCAAGTAGTTTCGTTGCCCTCCTCTGTTCATGCTGTGCTTACCCCAATCCCTCGGCTTTCCCTCAAGCTATGATATGTGAGTGATATTTTGAAGAAAAAAATCAATAAGAATTGATAATTGATTGGACATGAAGGCCCAGAACATTCTCTTCCTTCCACTTCCAAAAATTAAAAAGCCCTCATTCCTGGGGCACCTGGATGGCTCAGCTGGTTGAGCATCTGACTTCGGCTCAGGTCATGATCTCAAAGTTCATGAGTTCGAGCCCCACATTGGGCTCACTGCTGTCCGCACAGAGCCCACTTTGGATCCCCTCTCTCTGCCCCTGCCTGGCTTGGACTCTCTCTCTCTCAAAAATAAATAAACATTAAAAAAAAAAAAAAAGCCCTCATTCCCCATTTCCCACCTTTGTTACCGTGTAAGGTCAAGCTCTCAACCCAAATCTCTACCCTCAACAAGGACAATAGCCTCCCAACTGCTATTTCCCTAACCACTCTCTGAACCTATTGAAGACCTTGCTTGGTCAACCTTCCTAAGGCTCAGGGCCAGCCAAGCCTGACAGACACACCTGGCAAGAATCATCTGCAGAGACGGTCACAAACCCCACCTGATAGGTTCTCCAGATGGATGAGGACACCAGTTTGTTTTGCAAGAACCTCTCTGTGGACTCCCTCTGCCATTCCCCACACACTGATTCTGCAGAATCTAAGTCAAGAAGGAAGAAGACAGGGAGATTTTTGCTGACTTTTCTTCACTTACTTAAGGTCAGCTTTTCAGTGATGGCCCTTAAAGACATTCCTGGGAAGCACCCCTGCAAATGGCCTGGGTTTACCAGACAAGGTGTCTTGTCCACCCTCGGCAAAGAAACTCGGTAGCTATTCCTCCCTGCCCTGTGCCTCAGCGTTCTCGCCGGGCAGAAATCATCATATTTCTCCCTACTTCATGGAGCACTTATGAACGTCTAACTAGAAGTGAATATAAAATCACTTTGAAGTATTAAGCATAATACACTACTCATAATTTTTTTTGGAGATTACCCCAATTCCATAAAAGAGTTTATTAATAAAATTCCTTCAAAATTATGAATTTAAATACTCAATTACTTTAAAAACCTTTGTGGTTTTTGCTTCTGTTTTTTTCCTAACAGTCATCATCTTGCTGAATCAATGATCCCCGAATGAAAATCTATATATTATTGTTAAAGGAATTAAAATGTGTACTTTAGAAAAGCATTCTTTAGGGGTGCCTGGGTGGCTCAGTTGGTTGAGTGTCCAACTCTTGATTTTGGCTCAGGTCACGATCCCAGGGTCATGGGATCGAGTGACGTGTTGGACTCTGTGTTGAGCGCAGAGCCTGCTTAGGATTCTCTCTCCCTCCCTCTCTCCTCTCTCTCTCTCTCTCTCTCTCTCTCTCTCTCTCTGTTTCTCCCCTGCTCGCACGAGCTCTCTCTCTCTCTCTCCCTCAAAATAAATAAATAAACTTAAAAAAAAAACGTATTCTTTAGTCTGCTAAATACCTGTTCCTAGCAAGTTTTACCACATATATTTATTTATTTTTATAACTATTTGGCAACACTTGCATTCCACCTTTCAAAATCTGCTTTACACTTGGACCAATAGAAATGGTGAAATTTCTCTTAGTATTTTGAGCATGCTGAAGAAGCATGTGGGCTGTGGAAGTCTTAAAAGCGTTGGGTAAACCTGCCACAGGTGCATAGGCCCAGACGGAGACATGCATGGCGTATCACCTGGAGAATGTGCCATTAAGCTGGTGAAGGCAGGTAATCTGGATGCATCGTGTGATTAGCAGTTCAGCTATTGTTTATAAAATTTAACAAAGGTTGCTTAATACTGTGAGAGCCGTTCATTGCTAACAGAATTAACTGGAATTGGTTTCCTTATTTGTAAAACTTGGGCGGTGGAGAAGGATAGCTAATTTCTAAGGCAATTTCCAACTACTAAAAAATAAAATAAATAAAATATATAAGTCCTTTATTTCTTTGCCTAGGGGCTGCGATTGTGGGCGTGAACTGCCGATTTGGACCCAGCACCAGCTTGAAGACGATGAAACTCACGAAGGCGGGCCTACAGGCTGCAGGGTCGAAGGCGCATCTGATGGTGCAGTCCCCTAGGCTTCCATACACCGGACTGTGGCAAAGGAGGGTTTGTGGATCTCCCAGAATATCCCTTTGGTAAGCCCAGCCACATATTAGAGGTCCTTGTGTTTTCTTGTGCTGACAACATGGAAACGGCCATAATAAATAGCTATGGTACGGTCTTACAAATAGAGACTGCATGAGACAAAAATGTTCAATGTTAATGAAAAATGAGCAGAATCTAGAGTTCGTGATTTTCTAATTGTAAAAAATGCCCATCAGAGCACCTGTGATTTGAATACAAGGACAGTAACAGCAATGCTGTGATGGTTGTGTTGCAGGACTGGAGCCCAGAGCTGCAACCAGATGGGATATTCAGAAATATGCCAGAGAGGCCTACAAACTCGGGGTCAGGTACATTGGCGGGTGCTGTGGATTTGAACCCTACCACATCAGGGTGATTGCAGAGGAGCTGGCCCCAGAAAGGGGCTTTTGGCCTCCTGCTTCTGACAAACATGGGAGTTGGGGAAGCAGTCTCAATATGCACACCAAGCCCTGGATTAGAGCCAGGTAGGAATTTTCTAATTGACATTACTATTTTGCTCGAATCTCATTTTATTTATTGTTAGAAACACTATGCATGCAGTAAAAAATCAAAAAATATACAAGTATATAAAATTAAAACTAGAGGCTCCTGGGTGGCTCAGTCAGTTGAGCATCTGACTTCGGCTCAGGTCATGATCTCACAGGTTTGTGACTTTGTGCCCCATGTTGGGCTCTCTGCTGTCAGCATGGAGTCTGCTTCAGATCCTCTGTCTCCCTCCCTTGTGTTTTGAAATCTTATACCTTATTTCTGGTTTAGCAATTTTAAGCTGTAATTACTGCTAACCCTTTAAAAAACTGAGGCATTTAAATCACAAAATATTCCCCTTTTCTTCCTGATCTACTTTTCCCAATTTTGATGTATTACATTTTTATTTCTTCTTTTGGTTACCTTTATAAATTTGAATTTTCTATTTAGCCATCTATTTCTTAATCCATTGCCATAAAGCAGTATCTCTTAATTCCACTTTGTAAAACAAGAATTAACTCGGGGCACCTGGGTGGCTCAGTTGGTTGAGCATCCAACTTAGGCTCAGGTCATGATCTCATGGTTTGTGACTCTGAGCCCCGCATCGGGCTCTGTGCTGACGGCTCCGAGCCTGGAGC